AACTACGTAGGTAGTGTCGTACCATAGTTCGAAGCATAAAGTTCATAATAATTATAGAAAAGTGTATTCAGCATTTCTTTAACGTCCCACGGTTGGGTTCGGACCTCCCTTCAATACGAATGGGATCAGGCCATAGTCTACCACGCTGGCCAAGTGCGGGTTGGCGGACTTCACATGTCTTTCGAAAACTTGCTAGGTTCTCTCAGACATGCAGGTTTCCTCACAATGTTTTCTTTCACTATAAGACATGTGGTAATCATGTTAGAAATGATTCGCACATGAAAATATCAGAGGTGCGAGAGCCGGGATTTGAACCCGCTTCACTCGGTTTCCCAAGCGAGCGCGTTACCATTGGGCTACCACTGCCTTAATTATAGAAATACATTTAACAAAATTGAAATTTAAATCACATTTTTTTTCTTTGTTTTGTGTGTATTCTAAAGAAATGTGTAATAAGCTGAGCGAAGTGAGGGATGCCACGAGGGTATGTCTACTGTTTCTATTCAATGATTAATCCTCCTGTATTATATACTATCCTTATTATATTGATTACGACCGATGTTCCATTTGTAGTATGTATTAGTTATAACGAAACATGCCACGGTATTTAATATACGTCTCAGATGCACCTATCTCAAAACCTTATTTAGTGTCTAGATGTGCGTTGAGAAATTTATAAACGTACAAACTGGCAATCCCCTCCCGCTACGCTGCGAGATAGTAAATTCATGAAATTCCTAATACTTACTCTACTCCCTACTCTATCTATCATGAAAAATCCTGTTAAAATGGATCAAAGATTTTACCTCCATCTCAGGATAAAAAGTCTAAGTCCTGCTCGTTTGAATTCTCTATCCACAAGTGCTAAAATCTAGTTTACTCTTACGGAAGATCAGTTGGCAACCAAACAGGCATGTAATAAAAACAGTAGATTTATGAGCATTGGTATCAAAAATAACTTTATGACCTCTATATTACAATCGTTCATACATGAAAATCGATAACTCAAAGGTTTTGTCTATACTCATAAATTTTATGAGTATAGACAAATTTAACTTTGAGTTGAGATTAAATAAACACTAAGGCCATAATATGATATTTGTGTCGTCTCCAAGCATTAGCAATCCATACTTAATATTATAAATATAAAAGTGTGTTTGTTTGTTTGTTTGTTTGTTTGTTTGTTTGTTTGTTTGTTTGTTTGTCCTTCTTTCACGTCGAAACGGAGTGATGGTTTAACGTGATTTTTTGTGTGGAGATATTTGAGGGCTGGAGAGTGAAATAGGATATTTTTTATCGCGGGAGATTATCTCATTCGCACGGGAAACACGTTATAATACAATCCAAAAAAATATTTATGATCAGAATTTGGTACTTGAAACTTGCTATTAATGCTTATCAATATAATTAAGTAAATATATGTTTTATTCGAAATTCATCCCATAAGGTGGTAAAATAGGGGATGAGTTTTAGCGCGAGCGAAGCCGCGGATTCTGCTAGTATGATATAAAACATTTCTTAAATTTCATAGTACAACTATATTTCATCAAGCCTTATGTAGTGTATACAATATCCAAAATTTCTTTGTGTTCATATATCTCTGTAGGGAATACGTGGCTTACTAATAAGTTCAAGGCAACTATTTCAATAGGCCTGTCCCAACTCCCAAATCACTATATGAAATCATAGTGGTTTATACATTTTAAGGCAAAAGTAAATAAAAATAATAATCAATTTATATCGTGTTACTAGTCCCAAGGAAACTCATTCAAAGTCCCTATACGGTACATATACTCGAGTATATAAAACATGTATATAATTACTCTTTTTTTGATTTAAAATATAACATACTTAGTTATTTTTGTCGTTTACGATTTAAGATTACTTTTATAATATGTTTCATTAGACGATATCCATACTAATATTACAAATGTGAAAGTGTGTTTGTTTGTTTGTTTGTTTGTTTGTTTGTTTGTTTGTTTGTTTGTTTGTTTGTTTGTTTGTTTGTTTGTTTGTTTGTTTGTTTGTTTGTTTGTTAGTTTGTTTGTCCTTCTTTCACGTTGAGACAGAGAGACGGATTGGAGTATTTTTTTGTATGGCGACAGTTGGAGGGCTGAAGAGTGACATAGGATCCTTTTTTCCGCGGGAGATTATCTAATTCTCACGGCAAAACACGTTATAATACAACCCAAATAAAATATGCTCAGAATTACTCGAAATTTGGTATAAATGCTCTTCAAAAAAATTAAATGAATACGTGTCTTAGTATTTCTCGAAATTCATTCTATAAGAGGGTAAAATATTCGATGAAAGTTTGTATGAAAGTAACTTTTTAGATATTTTTTTGTAGTTTTAGCGCGAGCGAAGCCGCGGGTTCTGCTAGTTTAAATATAAATATTTGATCTCAATATTTTGAAGTCATCCCGTATTCAATTTTATGTAATAAAATATAAAGTGTTTTTCAGTAAATCTACAATACGATCTCCGAGATCTCTCTAAGAGCAATCTTAAAACTTTTAGAACGAGGGAACGTCTTTATTGAATTTAGTTTCCGAGTAAGATTAACCTTGAACAGTTATCTTCAGGATTGATCAGACCGCCTTTGATAACTTTTAAATTATCTGGCAACTTCCAACTTTCGAAAACGCCTTCTCGAAGGTTGAAAACTTTTACAATAAAATAATTTGAAATATGGAATTTTCGTAATATGCAGCCGTTGTGAATGTGTTTTTTTTATTTGAAAATTCATAATAATGATGTATATTTTAAAAGCATTCAACTCGTTTGTTATGACGAAATTTTTTTGTTCGATATAATAAAAGCTTTTTAAAAAATGAGCTTTAAAAGCGTTTAAAATATTTATATATAAAGTAACATTTTAAAACGATCTTTACGTAATTCAGATCTACTACCGCCCACTTCCCTTAATTGCAGAGGGACTTAATGCGATTTGTGGGGTAATAACATCGCTGTGAAATTGATTCCGAACACAGATTGAAAAAGCCTTCTTATAAATTCGCTTTATTTCTACTTCTGTTTCTTGATGTCGTTTGAATAAGAAAAAAGAAATTTGTTGTTTTCGTTTACAATTGTTACTAGCCCATACTAATATTATAAATGTGAAAGTATGTTTGTTTGTTCGTTCGTTCGTTCGTTCGTTTGTTTGTTTGTTTGTTTGTTTGTTTGTTTGTTTGTTTGTTTGTTTGTTTGTTTGTTTGTTGGTTTGTTGGTTTGTTTGTTTGTTTGTCCTTCTCTCACGTCGAAACGGAATGACGGATTGGCGTGATTTTTTGTGTAGAGATAGTTGGAGGACTGGAGAGTGACATAGGCTACGTTTTACCACGGGAGATTATTTAATTCCCACGAGAAAACACGTTATGACACAAACCAAAAAAATATTTATGATCAGAATTACTTGACACTTGGCATTAATGCTCTTCAATAAAATTAAATAAATATGTGTTCTAACATTTTTCGAAATTCATCCTATAAGGGGGCCAAAATAGGGGATGAAAGTTTGTATGAAACTACCTTTTTAGACATTTTTTATAGTTTAGCGCGAGCGAAGCCGCGAGTTCTGCTAGTAGCGTATATTTCCTTTGTTTTGAAATATCATGTTGACAATTTGAATTCTTATAGTATTACTTTGTAGCTAGTGACTTTGTCTGTGTGTAAAGTTTTTTTTTCTCAAAACATTATTGGGCATCGCCACTTTGAAAGGTTCACAATTAATTTTAAGTTTTATTAAGATGGCGTTGAAATGAACTATTCTCCTGTAAAAACGCATCACCGGTATACAAATATTCTCAGTCCAAGACATAGTTGCCCTTATTGCGTGCAAAGTTTAAATTAAATCCATAAGACTAATTGAGTCTAGAAGAAGAAGACTAGAAGACATTCAAATATATTTATAAGCTTTCACATAATTAGAATAATTATTGAAATGGATACTTTTAATATTCTATACCTGAAATTAAGTAAGTAAATCTATCTATCTGACATTGACGCTGTTTAAATGTTCGATTTATAAACTTGATTTATTGATAAGACTTCCGTCGTCGTTCGCCTAGTGGTCGAATCGACCATAATCGTTATTGCAAATTTAATAAAAACATATTTGATGAATAGAATTTACCTATCTATATAAAAATCGTGTTGTGAAAAATGTTTCCAAGTTTTTATTTTACATTGTTAACGCTAAGGCTCGTCGAATAGCTACCAAACAAAAAAGTAACTACTACTAACAGTAAAAGTAAAAAAAAACGATTTTCACTTAGAGGCGAAAAAGGAATTGTTTTGTCTTTGCCTATTAACTATACATATATAGAATGGTTTAACGGTTAGTATAGATTTCTGACAGATGAGTTTTTCCTGTAGTAAAAAGTATCCTGTATGTTGACCCGGATAACCAGTTGTCATCATACTAAATTTCATTAAAATCTTTTCAGTGGTTCTCTTGTAATGCGTTTCCAGATAGACAGATAGATAGATAGACAAAAATTTTAAAAACTGTAGATTCGGCCTCTGTATCGATAATGAAATGACGATTTTAATAGGATTTTCTAAAAAATATTTAATGTACAGATTCAACTCAGAATTTTATTATATATATAGATTATCGTCAGTTATCTTTTTAATTTACATGCCACTGCCGCATTGAAATAGTGCCTACAATGTATTGCTCAAGATCAGGTAGTTCTCGGTTTCGAGTTCCGGGTCCGTCTAGAAATTATCGCGAATAGCACAGAGTTGGGAAATTATATTAATAATGTTTCGTTCCGTACCTCGGAGAGCATGTAAGCTTAGCTGTCGGTCCTGCGCATGATCTCTCACATGCAGAGTGTGCACTTGTGATTACTTATAAACTATAGTATCTCCTATAGACTAACCATGTGTAGTCTCAATGAAATTAGCTGCCTTGGCCTAATTGGTATGGAAAATTTTATTATAAATTATATTATTATCTTTTTAATTAATTCAATTATCAATTGTTTCTTTAGCACTGTCCCGAGGCAGCACTCGTATCAGCTCGGGTGCTGGGGGCTGAAGGGGCGCCTGCTACTAGGTCAGCATCTGGAGTTGAAAGAAGACCTTCAGCACCACGACCACCTCTTAACAAGAGAGGCTCAGGCTCTTTACTATCACAGTCACCACCACAATCAAAGTAAGTGGAACGCTACTTAATATTCTGATCTAATAGATAAAATCGGTATTGCACATATTCTTTTTATTTTTAATCATTACACTTTAAATATGGGACACAGTGGAATTACATAATTGTGTCGATAAAGTAGAATTTCCGCAAAAGTATCTTGATCCAAAAATAGACTTCAATTCAATTCTCCTGTTAATGACTTCAAAGCATGCCAGTTGGGCACAGATTATTTTGCCAATGTAACGTAGAATGATTAAGATTAGACGATTTAGACACTCTAAGCCTTCGGAGAGATGTTGGCTCTCTGTGTGTCTTCTATCGTCTATACAATGGAGAGTGTTCTGATGAACTTTTTGACATGGTGCCACCGTCGCGCTTCTATCATCGCACCCTTCGCCGTCGGGTAGGATGTCATCCACACATTTTAGATGCTTGGCATTCTACAAATGTACGTGCATCTCGATCTTTTTTACCCCGCACGTGCAAGATGTGGAATGATCTTCCTCCCGAGGTATTCCCTGAGCGCTATAATATGGGGCTCTTCAAGAGTAATGTCTATAGGTCCCTTAAAGGCCGGCAACGCATTCGCAACTCCTCTTGTGTTGCAGATGTCCATGAGCGACGATAGCCACTTACCATCAGGTGGATCGTTTGCTCGTTTGCCCCTTTTTTCTATACAAAAAAAAAAAAAAATGGAGAAGACACGAATGAGATTAGTCGGTAAAATAAGATTATAAAATATATTAATTATAAATTGTAAAAACGGGAGTAAATAGAAATGGGCTTGTTAAAATATCAATAAAATATTGAGAAGTTTCTAAAATTCTGTCCTCGATATGAAAGTTGGTACTTAATACTTAATATTATTTGTATGAAGGTTGAACCACTTCTTTAGACTTAGTCTTATGTTATGTGTAGAAACTAGATACTTTCATATCGCATTGTTGTATTATAAATTCTGAGATACGTAAAAGCTTACAATATCGCTCAAACATGTTTTAAAGAGTTCGCTTTTTATTCTTAGATAATAATACGTCGAACATTGAGTTAAAACGTTTTACAAACAAATGGATAAACGCTATATCTGAATCTATTAAGTAATAGGTATATAAAAAAAAAACAATTCATTAAAGAAAATTTAATTTATATGTACCTACAATATAATAAATATCTCACAAGTAGCAATTCAAAAATGAAATATTCATTTGTTAATATATGGAAAATATAAAATGGATACGCTCAAATAGAATTTTCTGTTGGGAAATTTATTAAGGAAATGGAATAGTCGTCGACCGCTGAACAGATTCATTAGACAACATGAAAGTACTCTTGTTCTACTATAACTATGTTTTATATTTTTATAGTTAAGTAGTAGAAAAAAATAAAATAAAATATAGGATAATTTATACATCTATATACTAATATTATAAAGAGGAAAGATTTGAGTTTTTGTTTTTTGTTTGTACCGAATAGGCTCCAAAACTACTGAACCGATTTAGATGAAATTTGGTAAGAAGATAATTTGAGACCCTGGGAAGAACATAGGATAGTTTTTATCCCAGGGAAAATGAAGATGAAAGTTTGTATGGGAAAGCAACCTAATAAATAAATTAACATGATTAATCGGTTACAATGGACATTTAGCACATCTATATATATATACAATACTATTATGTTAAATCAAAATGATGAATGTATTGATATTTAAATGCTTATCTATTCTCTATACAAATAAATAAAATTAAAGTGTCTGTTGTGTGTGTTGCTAATATCATAATAACAGCTTTTTACTAAATGCAATGTGCATATAGTTTACTTATAAGAAAAACATAATTTTTAAAAGGTATTTCTGATTGATTTTGACATTTTGACGGGACTTTAATTGGCATATAGTTGATGTTATAGAGTAACTTTGGCTACTTTTATTATAGAAAAAGAATTAGGGTTCCGCTCAAAAAAACATACCTAGGAACGGACCCGAACGAAGCAAGGATAAGTCGGTAGTTCCAAATAAATGTACTAACAAGCAATACATAGTAAAACATAAGAGATAGTCCATGTTTAGAAATCGTCTATAGCTTCATAATTTTAATTTATACATATAATAAAATTCTCAGTGGAATCTTTACATTAAATATTTTTTTGAAAATCTTATCGAAATAGTCATTATTATCGATACAGAGGCCGAATCTATAGTTTTTAGAATTTTTAACTGTATGTCTATCTGGGAACGCATAACGAGAAAGCCACTGGACAGATTTTAATGAAATTTAGTATGATGTTAGCTAGTTACCCAGTTAACATATAGGAATACTTAGGACACTTTTTAGTGCGAGAAAGAATGTCATATTTGAGAGATTTATACTAACCGTTAAAACGTTCCTAGGGACGAACCCAAGCGGAGCGAGGGTAATATGCTAGTAGTTTAATAGAAATTAAAATATTTCTATACGATTCGACTCTATACATCTTCTGTTCAGAGATTGTTTAGTTCTTTAAAATCGCACAGGCTTTTTAATTAATTCAATAAATACTATCTCGATGATGGAAATAATCCAATTTATTTGTTGTCCAATAAATGTTAAAGGGTAATAAACCATAAGTACGTATCTTTGATATTATATTGGAATTGTATAATTATTTAATATTAAATTTTACCCAATTAAATTGAGTGTGATGAGAGATTCCATGTGTTTACTGTTAATGTATTGAAAGAAGTATGTAGTTATGAAACTATTTTACTAAAATTAAACGAATAAAGGAAAAAGTTAAATAAACTGATAAAATGTTAAAATTAAATAGGTCAATTTTTAAAATTATTTTTGGTATCTGCGATGTGCCTTACGGAAACATGAACAGTTTTTACTTGGTACCGGTGATTCAAAAACGATTTTTCGTACTAAATCAAAACTCTGTATGCTCTGCATACTTTGTTCATTAAGTCAACATTGGATTTATTAGATATAGATACTAACGACTTACCCTCGCTTCGCTTGGGTGCGTCCTGCCTCGTACGTTTTAGTTTTTTGAGCGGAACCATAATCCTTTTTCTAAAACAGAAGTAGCCTAAGTTACTCCGTATAACATAAGCTATCTGCTAGTAAAAGTCCTGTTAAAATTGGTGTAGTCGTTTTGGAGATTAGCCGAATCAAACAGACAGACAGATTAACTGACTAACAGACAGACAATTTTTTTTAAAGTTGTGTTTTTTATGTTTGTGATTAATATATGGATATAATTTCATATGCGTTTAGGAAAAGGCTCTCATTTTTTCATTACAAACGAAAACTTCAATTTTATTTATCTGTGTAGATTAAACAAGAAACTAAAAATATATATATTTTTTAATTAAAGGTAAGATTGATTCAATTTTTTTAAGCAACCAGTCAGTGAGGTAGGTTTTTCTTTTTTTCTAATATTTCATTTTATTTTCATTAAGTAAGCATCTTTGTCTTTTAATGACTAACTATTGCCACTATAGAGATATTTTGCGTTATATTCGGTTCAGTATCAATAAATATAAAAGTACATTTTGATCTACCCGTTCTAGATGTATCCTTCGATTTTTTATTTTTTTAGAGGAAGATACTGAATGGCAATAACAAAAGAGACCGATAAAGAGGGTTTATAAGCAAATATATTTGTCTGTTTAGGTAAGGTAAACAGGTAGATCGCTCGTTAGCGAAATTTTGTGTTCGACCTTTACATAACATCTGGGAGAGCGGGACTTAAATAAATAATAAACTAAATATATACCTATGTATGTCGTATTTTAATAATACTTACATATAATATCATCTGTGCTCGAAATTCGACAAGTTGTGTTTATCATAAAATAAAGAAAAAGTAGTTGTTCATATAAAAGTAATTTATATATTTTTTTATTACATGCTTCATATATTGAATCATTATATTATGTATGTTTATGCCAAATTTTGAGATAAACGTAACATTTGCGAGTTTATTTTATAATGTACTAGCAGAACTCGCGGTGTCGCGTTCAATCTACAAAAAAAACTCTTTGGCTTTATGTTATATAGCAACTCACCCTTGCTTCGTTCCGGTTCGTCTCTATGTATTTGTGTAATATATATAATTTTACAATAATGAATGGAAATCTGCTCAATTGGGTTATATTTATGATTACTGCTCCGGTTCCTTGGATAGTAGCATGATGATATATAGCTTATTAGCGACTCACCCTCGCTTCGCTCGGGTTCGTCCCTAGGTACATTTTAATTTTTTTGAGCGGAACCCTAATTCTTTTACTGAAATAAAAGTAGCCTAAGTTACTCCTTATAACATCAACTACCTGCTAGTGAAGGTCCCGTCAAAATTAAAAATTGTGTTTTTCTTATAAATACCGTATATAATTCCATATGCATTTACTACAATTTTATTTATCTGTATAGATAATCTTTTTCAATAAATGGACTATCTAATGCAAAAAGCATTTTTAAATCGAATTAGTAGTTTCGGAAATAAGCGCGTTGAAACAAACAAACAAACTCTGCCTCTTTATAATATTAGTATAGATAAATTTAACTAGATGGAGTTAAAGAGTTCATCAACTGAAAGCTCTAACAAAAATAGTATTTGTTAGATCTTATTCGTGTATTTGTGGGATACCCTATTTATATTCTGTGAAAATATTAACTTTAAATGCAGCAGTGTAACTTTATTTTTATATGGGATAAAATGTTTAATAAGTAAAGCATAATGCCGTGTATTTTACTAATTCTGTGTTACATTAAATACTACCTACTTTTCATATTATCTTGTCACTGCTGAGAAAAAAGGACAAATTTTTATCCACTCAAATTGAATCAGTGCATTGCAGTGATCCAATTAAAATTGCAACCGCATTAAGCCCACGCGACATGTTGAGATGATTGAATTACAGCTTGCCGCTTTAATAGCTGATAACTTTATCAGCTATTTTCATATTCCTTTATCAATATAAATTTATTTTTGTGATGACGTTAACTAAGAACTAAATAATTCTCTTGAAAATTTATAATTGCTTCCATAATTATTAGCATTTGCCTGTGGCTCTGCCCGCGTAGTTTAAAAATAATTGGTTCTGAGAAGGACGTAGTATAGTTTTTATCCCAGAAATCATCCCTTAAGGGGGTGAAAAGCTCTACATTTTTAAAATAGATCCCTAATAAAAACGCTTTGTTATACAACGCTTCTAATTAATAAAAAATGGAAATACCATCCTTATCATTTTTATAATTAATGTCATAGTATATTTTATAGGTTCGTAACGTTGATATGAAAATATTGCTATATAACGTTAGTTTATATTGTCAATATTACATAATCGCTCGTATAATTTGGTAAAAGCTGATTTACATTCAGAACCCATGCCCTTAATAATATTTTGTTTATAATTCTAGAGTAGGCGTAGGCTGTTCGTAATTTGTAACTGATACTAATAAAAATATTTACAACAAATGTACACAGTATTGTTACGAAGCACGTACTATTATGAAGTAAGGTAACAATAAATATTCTTCCATTTAATTAATACTCCTAGATAGATACATGGTTTCATCTCGCATTTCAATTATCACCAATTTCAAAAAACATTACTACATTACTATAGAGCAAGATAGCGCGATATTTTGAACAAAAAGCTTATTAAAAAGAAAGCTTATACAGCGTATGTACGAGTATATGCACAGCTTATACAGTACACTATGTATAATATGTATGTTTGTTACTCCTTTGCGCTAAATCATATAGACGGATATAAAAGAAATTTAGTACACAGACTAATACTTACACAGACTACTCTTATGCTCTGTATAAAGGTTGGGCGCGTGCCCAAGAGAGAGTAATTCACTAATTAAGGATATTAGTCTTAATAAATATTTATTGCTTTTTTGAGTATTTGTTTTTACCTCTTACCTGTAAGTATAAACTACACTATAATTAAAAAGAGCAAAAGGTTCTGTATGTAACTGAAAACCCTTTAAAATACCAACTTTACTCAATTATAGACGCTAGAAGTAGTTAGGCAGCTGCGACATTTTAATCATAAAAGACCACATCGTATATACCGTTCGCTTCGTAAATTCCACGTTAATTAATTTGTTTGATGTTCAAAACTGACATTGTAATTATATTCATAAACAAAACTTAGAGTTTGTTTGATAGTAAGATTAAAAATTTATTATGCTGTCGTGCATATGATTTCAGCCTTCTGCATTTTAATTTCAAATTCAAAAGTACATATATCAAAGTTGTTTTAATTTCACAATATGCGAAATATTCATAAATATCACGAATAATAATGGATGAAAAACTCTTCTACGCCATTTGTACCAACGGTAGTACGTGTCACGTGTATGTCTGCCAAGTGCCAAGGACCTTTCGATACAATGTAGGTCATCCTACTGTTTATCAAAGAAAAATTCTAAACAAAAGTTAATTGTTCGCAGGTTTGTTTTATGTTGTAATTTTGTTTTATAATAAAGAACTTAGGTGACTAGTTGACTAATATATATACTTATACTCAAGTGGAACTACCGCAACCTAACAGAATTTCAAACTTTCATCCAGTTCATTATCCCGTGGGGAGAGACTTTCTTTCGTGTAATTATTAGCCTGAAGAATCTGATATTATTTATCAATTAATTATGATTTCTTCAAACAAAACATAGAGCGAAACCGTGAACATAAAGTATATGATAAAGAAAATAAGTATAATAAGGAAAATACACTATTAGTAAAAATATTAGTCATTACAATCTATTCATATAATAAAATTGTAACTAAGTCGAATCTGTACATTAAATATTTTTTAGAAAATCTTATTGAAATAGACATTATTATCTGCATCGCAGAGGCCGAATCTATACATTTTAGAATTTTTATTTGTCTGTATGTCTATCTGTCTGCCTGGTGGTCTGTCTGATGATGAAAAGTGGAATTTATTATTCGGGTCAACATATAGGATGCTTTTTACTGCGGGAAAATATCTCATCTCTGAGAAATCTATACTAAACGTCAAAATGTAAGTAGGGGGCGAAACCGAGCAGAGCGAGTGTGAGCCGCTAGTAAATATATATTTTTGGTAAAATCTCGATGTTTGCGCCAATAAGTGTTATATGTGTTATATCATTTTACAGGCTGAATTAAAAAGGAATTAGATAATTACTTTTGCTTTAGAGTTTATTGAAAGGATTTTATCGGAGAAAGTAATTAAAGCAATTAAATGATTGTACAAAAGACTAGCGCCCCTTTCTGACGTTACTTGTCTTCTCTTTTAATTTAATATTCGTTGAAAGGAATCTTTTATATTTAATGGTTAAATAAAAAAAATACTACATTATATAGAGTTAGCCACCAAGCCAACAAAATGAAATAGGTTTAAGATCCGCGTCTCGCAGCTCTAAGATTCCCTTATTGAAGCCCCGTGCCCAGCAGCAGTATGTTTGTGCCCCTCAGATTTAGCTAATTTCAATTTTTCCAGAGCGTTTGTAAATCAATTAGGATAAGCAACTTTATTTCCATACTATATAGATTAAACCTTAGGAACTATGTATTTGCCTTCAGGTTTTTATGGTAGTGTAAAAAAAGTCCCCCTGAAGAAAATACTTTTTATACTTCCTCTCAGGACTGATAGATTTTCTTTTTGAACTTTTGGTATATTGGAAAAAAGCTCTCTTATGTCGTGCTAAATACTAACGTCTCCGTCTCTCGGGCTGAATTTTAGATTGATATTTTAAATAAATCTTTAAAAAATATTGAAATAATTCAATAAAAATAATAAAAAAATATTTTTTCAAGGAAGGGCTTTTTAAGAGATTGTTTTGTTCCCTTAAAACCTATTATATTGTTATTGCTACTTAGGATCTTACGTTATTGCTATCAAGTCGCTTTTTCGTTATCATAAAACTTGGCTTGCCTGTTCTTCTTTACTGTCAGTTTATGGGTGATCGTAAATGAAAATAATAATGAGGATACATTTCATTGTTGTTTTTATTTTTTAATAATAAAATTTATCGTGGATCACTATGTGGTAAACAAATAAACTTTAGTTTGAAAAAAGCGATAGTAATAAAGTTTTTACTATACACTTAAATAAACATTGTGAGACCTATACTTAATTAAATAATGCGTCGCAGTATGTTTTTCAAGGTCTGATGTAGGTAATATTGATTTATCTATGAACAATTTGCCATCCAAACCAATCTTTTAGGTAACTTTTGTTTATATAGAATTTAAAAACCCACGTCTTTTTGTATTTGGAAAATGTAATAACTTTATTACTTAGTTAATTTAGTCTCCATTATGTAGAATTGAAAATATAACATTTCTCAAAAAGAACTATATATATATATATATATATATATATATATATATATATATATATATATATATATATATATATATATATATATATATATATATATATGTATCTTGATAAAAAGAATGTTCGTTAAAAAGAGCTTGAATTTTTTTTATTTTCCATTCAGCTATCTAATGATATTGCACAAGCTTATACTCGTATGCATTCATTATTGTGTATTAGATACATTCTTTATACATTACGTTACTTATATGAGGTGCCAAACTTTTATTTTTACTAGCGAGTCACCCTCGTTTCGCTCGGGTTCGTCCCTAAGTTGGTTCTCCATACAAACTTTCATTCCCATTTTCACCCCCTTAAGGGATGATTTCCGGAATAAAAATTATCCTATGTCCTTTTCACAAACTATCTTCTTACCAAGTTTTTGAGTTTATTCTTTACAAACAAAAATACAAATCTTTCCTCTTTATAATAGTAATGTAGATAATTTGACTACATTAGGTACAATGGCATAAATTTAATTTAATTTTTTCAAGTAGTAGTATAGGATATTCTTATATTACAATGATCTGTCCCTATTCTGGTCATCCTAAGCATACATATAGCATGAGTACGACTTAAATATCATGTCAACCTTTTTATTTTTAATCGGGGCCCACACGCTTGACATTTTCCAAAATTTAAAACTACACGCACAAACGCTATGATGCATTACAAGCACTTGCCACGAATTTCCTTTGATTTGTGCACAAAAACCGACACGATCGGAACGGCCACAAATGCTTACAAACCTACACAAGCTAAGCCAAAGCACATCTCCGCGTTTTTGAATTTGTGATGACTTGTCGAGGCTTAGCAAGAGTGTGGTTCCGGTTTTGTTTCGTTTACAGTAAAACTAATAAACTCATTTGAGATGTTTAATCAATAATTCAACAGGTACCTGTGGATACGAATAGCTCTATTCGAGCGCCAATTAGCCAAAATCATCGAACATCTGGTGAACAACGCTAACAGATATTACGAGAGGGATGCACTAGTAGCAGATCCTGATTACGGCAGCATACTCAGTTCTTTACTTGTTGGACCGTGCGCATTGGAGTACTCTAAAGCGAAAGCTCCCGCTTGTTTCTGGTCGGATCCCCCAGCAGATGAACTAGTAAGTAATAATTACTGGTATTGCTTTAGGATAATGGATTATAATTAATTATTTATTCTTCATACTACGTACTTTACTGTCTCGGTGGTGTAGTGGCTAGCATTTACGGCTGCACATCTGGAGGTCCTGGGTTCGAGTCCTTGATCGAGCAAAGTTTAGTTATTAAGTCTTTCTGTTTAGTAAGCCTCAGTAACAGATCGGAGTTAGGAAGTTAGCGGTGTTTCACCCCTCGAAGGGCACGTAAAGCCGTCGGTCCTGCGCCTTAACTCTCACTGATCGTATTGAGTATTCGTCCCACTGGAGTATGAAAGTGACAGGAATAGAGAGTGCACTTGTGTCTGCGGGTACACTTATGTACTATAATATCTCCTGCGCATGCTAGTCTCAAAGAGATTGGCCGCCGTGGCCGAAATCGGCCAGGAGGATTTGGAGAACATCATAACATTAACTTAAATCCTACACTAAAACTCCAGCGCCATATATTTATAAAAAATAAATAAATGTATATAATCACACTTTTAAAATATTGAAATTTATCCGGTAATATTTGTTTTATATTGGATGGAAATTCGTTGTAAAACATATCTTTTATTTCTAAAATCCTTTTAGACCTTGACATTTAATTGGTTGTAAACTGTAATATAACTTTTTCATAGGAAATTAAAAAGATTTTTAAAATATCCTTTCCAATTAATAATAAGATATTTTTATGAGGGATTTTTAAAGAACTTTTTTTATCAAATTACATAACGCCAAAGTTTTTTGTTAATTATCGATCGTAACTCTGTCTAAGGTTCAAAGGCATAGAATGTCCGCGGGTACCACAACTCCCCCGTCTGTGCGAAGACCTATACTCAACTTTAGAAGAAGCCTAAACGCATCTTCTGATGATGGTAGCGCAAATAATTCAGGTAATTATCTAATTATAATTTCGTCAAATAAATATATATAAATATATTTACATTCATGGCTTTAACTTTACTCTTATATCTTTATTCTTTGTATAAATTAGTTTTCAAAGCTTCGACTTCGTTTTTAGTATAATATTATTTTGTTACATGATTACCTTCTATTAGATTCTTTAGAAATATCTAGAGTAACTACTCGTACCTATTATTAATTTTTATACGAGCATGTATTATGTTATTACTGTTATTATTTTATACTAATATAATCTTTAGACAATCAGAGATTTAAGCATTATAATATTTTTTTCTTTTTATAATAAAAAAACTTATTTCTGTAGTAAAGATCTACTTTGTGCGGCAAAGGTTAACTCAATTAATTATAAGTAGCGGGAAAAAATCTTTAATGGACTTGGAACAAAGCACTTAGAAGGAATTTTAATGAGAAAGCTTTTTGTAGGTGCTGGTAACGCAACTGTTTCAAGCGCTAAAGATTACGTTGAAAGTTTACATCAGAATTCTCGAGCCACATTATTGTACGGCAAAAATAATGTACGCGTACAACCGGTGAGTGTTTAATTACATTTTATAACAATAATAATGTTATATAAATCCGCTAATTATTCCTTAAGGGACACACAGGGTTAACTAAAGGATTTACCCCTCAGTGATTCGCTTTTCGTCGAATTTAGGTTGATTGTGATGGATAAATTTCTCATTACCGAGACTTAGGAAAATTTAGTAACGTATGGCTGAAAATATATTCGATGTATGCGAAGATCAAACCTTTGCGTGTGTTTTATTTTTACAAACTAGTTTACTACCCTCGCTTTGCTCGGGTGCGTCCCTAGATACGTTTTAAATAGATATAAATAGTTATTGCGGTTGTACCTTAGGAGAAAGACAGGCTATGGCAGATTTTTCTGTAGGCCTTATTACGTAAGACCTACAATCTTCTAGTACATTGTTTTGATGTATCTATTAAGGTTTAGCCAGCATTAGACATATTTTCTAAGAACGACTCGGTAGAACCAGTTATTGTGATTTCCCGTGGGAATGAAAGATTTTTCTGTAGTAAAAGGTATCCTAAATGATGACGCAAGTAAGAAGTTATCACTATATACACAAAAGTTAGTTAAAATCGGTTCTGTACTTTTTGCGTGCAACGGGCACATGATTTCGCTAATATACTGTTTTATTGTATGTATAGACTAGCGGCTCACCCTCGCTTCGTTCGGGTTCGCTTCTAGGAAAACAAAAACAAACTTATCTTAAAGGAATATTTTTCCGGGATAAAAAGTAGCTTATGTGTTATTCCAGCCTGTAATCTATCTCTGTGCCAAACATCCAGATCCGTTCAGCCGTTCTGGCGTGAAAAAGTAACAAACATCCATTTATAATATTAAAAAAAAATATGGATAAGACGCATACGTACAAACTTTCGCAATTACATTATTATAGTGAATAGTAGGATATAAAGTAAATTGAAAATTGTAGAAAGATGTGGAAGAACCCATGGCAGGCTACTTAAGCCTCCATCAAACGGCCGCTGGGCTTGTTATTAAATGGACGCCAAATCAACTCATGAATGGTTACGCTGAAAGCGAAGGAATTGATAAAAGGTAATGTTGTTTCTGTATTACGCTTCCAAAGTAGATTGTAGCTGTAGATGTTATGAGTTTAAATGTTGTGATCAGTATTTTGCAATGTACCTAGTATGAAATTTTTTTCTTTCACTTTCATTATTTTAGTAAACAAATGTAGGTGCTAAGGTATATATATATATATATATATATTGCTAACTACTAAGGTATATATATGTCGGAGACGTTCATCAATACATATATACATATATATATACCTACATACAATTTTTACGGCATTAATATTATTTTTATATGCTCAATGATTCGTTTACAAAAATTTATGCAAATTAAACAAACGCGTAGGTAATAATGATGTCTCTTAGGCTATATTTGTTTTTTGTTGAATATGCTATTTGTCGTGTGTGAATGAATATCATTTCTAATATGAATATTGGTTACGTGTCTGATTCTTTGATATCTTCAAATATTTCATTATGCGAGTCTGCTTTGTACCATACAATATTTATGAGTGAGATTTGAATTAAATATACAAAATAAAAATCTTTCTTCAGTTGAAAATGTATTTGTTACATAAGTAATTTGCAGTTGGCACCACCAATCAATTATATTATGTATTTTTAATAAGCTTCCAAAACGTGATTATGTATTTGCTAACTTGATTTCAAAGCAACTAAAAATTAGCGATGGGCGTTCAATAAACAGACTAGTTCAATCAACCGGTCGACGGTGCGTCGACGGTTCGACGGTTCACGTTTTTCGAATGGACTAGATCATTTCATAGACTAAGATAGACGTAAACAAGGAGTTCGTTTATCGTCCGTTTAAAACAGAATGAAAACTAATTTCAACTCTAATGTTTGTAATAACAGTTGTTTAATATTTGAATGCGAGCTTTAGAGTGAGATAGGCCTATTATAGTATTGTTATTGTCGTGGTCATTGTAGAAACAAAATGCCATAATTATCGTTGCAATTTTTTGCAAATGATAATATTTTTATGAGCGCGTAAATTTTAAGATTATTAATTTATTCAGTATAAAATGTCATCATTAAGAATTAACTAAGTCTAATCTAACCACGGCGGTCGCGACGAATCGTTCCGTCTCGCAACATAAACTAGTAAAGATAGAATAGACTGTCTACAGTCTAGCGTCTACAACTACATTGAAGTCGGAAGCGGAATGTGAACTATAATCCACAATTTGAAGTAGTTGATCGACTAGTCGATGAAATAAAATGAACGGTCTAGTTTCGTTCACGCTAAATACGTCGACGACCCATGACTACTAAAAATCTAATTTTATTTAATTAATTGAAAATTTATCGAGCATTCAGGGCTAACATAAAGTGATTTTTGAGAATCTGTATCGAGGAATTATTTTGAATGATGTCACCTACTCAATTATTAGCTAAATTAGATGAGCTTAATTTTAAATTAAAAACCATGCTTATTTTATTAATATTTGGCTAACTCCGTTACCAATATGGAAACAATATGGATACGGAGACAGAAACGCGAGAGGACAAAGACTATTAGACTTTGCTTTGGAAAATAAGTTAGCAATTATTAACACATTTTATAAGAAGAAACCAAAGAAAAGATGAACGTGGCGTTCACCCAATGGGCAGTACAAAAATGAGATAGATTTCATAATGTCTAACAGGCCACAAATATTTCAAAATATTGAAACACTAAATGTAAACTACCCTTCGGACCATAGAGCATTCAGAGCTGTAATATCACTAACAAAACCAATCAAAAGTAGATCCAAATACAAAAACGACCAGCATAGTACGCTCAAGAGCGAAGAAGAAATATCAATATTCAAAGAGAAATTAAAGAATCATGTTGCGACTCTACAAAAAATAAATCCGACCGAGTCAGTACAAGGTTACTATGACAAACTAATAAAAAAAGTCAGTAAATTCAGTGAAAAACCACAGCATCCTATCAGATTACACAAAAAACATTATAAAAAGAAAACAAGAAATACAAGGAATAAAAAATAAATCTAGATCCATTAAAAATTAAAGCGCTTTATAAACTCACTAGCAAAAATATAAAAATAGATTACAACAATCATAGACTGAAAACCATTATGGCACATCTAGAACAAAAAGGAAGCTTGAAAAAAGGGTATAGAGCATTAAAAACAAATGAAACGTGGATTGAATGTCTAAACAAACAAGGAGAAACCACGTACAATCGCGAGGAAATTATACAAATTGTAACCAATTTCTACAAAAACTTTACAGTACTAAAGACACAAATACTAGTGCAAATTTAGGTCAGGGCAAATCGGTAGAGCCAGAATTACCGGAAAAACGTATAGAGCCAATATATTGCAAAGAAGTTATGGAGGCGATACAAAAATTAAAACGCGATAAAAGTCCTGGTTCTGACAATATTACTAACGATGCCATAAAGGTAGCACACGACATACTGAACACACCATTAATAAATCTTTTCAATGCGATAATAGAAACCTCTGAAACACCATCGCAGTGGTCGGAATCTATTATTATCCTGCTCTACAAGAAAGGAAATCCAAAAGATATCGGTAACTACAGACCTATTAGCTTACTGCCAACCTTATATAAACTCTTTTCTACAATAATAAACAAAAGAATAAGTGCATTGCTAGAGCAAAACCAACCCATTGAACAAGCCGGTTTCAGAAAAGGATACTCTACAATAGACCATATACACACCATAGAGCTGATAATAGAGAAATACCAAGAACAACAAAGACCACTGCACATCGCATTCATTGATTACCAAAAAGCCTTCGATACTGTCCTACACGAGAACATATGGGTGACTTTGCAAGCTCAAAATGTAGAGAAAAAATACATAGACATTTAAAAAAATATTTATAGCAATAGCTCTAGCAGAGTGAAGTTAGAAAGTACTGGCCCAAGCTTTACGGTAGAAAGAGGAGTAAGACAAGGAGACCCTCTTATCTCCTAGAATTTTCATAGCGATAATAGAATCAGTTATAAGGAAACTTAATTGGAAAAATCAAGGCTTGTTTATAAATGGTAAATACTTAAGCCACCTAAGATTTGCGGACGATCTAATATTATTTTCAGAAACTACCACTCAATTACAATATATGATCGAGACTACATATGGCTAGCAGAGAAGTAGGCCTACAAATAAATTTAAGTAAAACAAAAATTATGACCAACAAAATCAACCATTGCAATAGACGATAAACCTTTAGAATACATAGATGAATACATTTATCTCGGCAAACAAGTTGGATTTAACAGAAATAACAACGAACTAGAGGAGGAAAGAAGAATTAAACGTACTTGGAATAAGTACTGGAGTTATAAAGAAGTATTTAAAAGTAACATGCCCTTAACATTGAAGAAGAAGGTTATGGACTCATGTCTTATCCCATGCTTGACATATGCATGTCAAACATGGAAATTTACAAACAAAACCCGGAATAGAATAATTACCTGCCAGAGGGGTATCGAGCGTAGCATAATGAATGTGAAAAAACTACAAAAAATAAGGCACACCAAGATAAGAGCGAGCTTAAAAACAATAGATGCTTTAAGTCACGCTCAAAGACTGAAATGGAAATGGGCTGGGCATGTGATACGATTAAAAGACCAGAGATGGACCAAAACGGTTCCGACATGGAAGGGCCCAACCGGTAAACGCTATAGGGGAAGGCCTTATACCCGCTGGGAAGACGACATAAAGAAAATAGCCGGAAGTAAGTGGCACCCTATAGCTCAGGATAGAGAGAAATGGCAAGCTTTGGAAGAGGCCATCACCTCCTGCAATTATAAATATATATGTATGTACTACCTAAAATTAACCTATAAGATTGTAAGCAGGAAATAAAAGGCTTTTTTATTTTTATTTTATTTTATTTTTTATTTTATAACTCCGTTACCAATTATTTTGCACACAATATATGTTTATTTTCTCTTGTTTGAGCTTGTAATTTTATAGCCAGTATCAGTATCGTTGGCACCTAGTACATTCGTCCGCGTGTCCACATGAGTGTATTCTGTGCAGTGCCGCACCTTGCACCGTGTACAGGCGGCGGTGCGCTGGAACGCTTTGCATTGACTGGTATGTACGAGTACTAGTGCATGTTATGTGTTAGCTTTTTTGTTTACTGTAGGTACTGCTTTCGTTAATATCCTTGTTTTAAGTCTTTAAAAGATTTATGTTGTGAATATATTAAATAAATAGTATGATCACACTATATAAAAATAAAATTAAAATTTTAAGTAATACCCGACACAAAAAAAACCCCTCTAAAAAGTATTTTTTTTCTCTTGGCTTTTTAACTTCATTAAAAGTAGGTACCTATTAATAGTTTGATGATCGTCGCTGCGTCGAGGGACCACTAATACTTTATAATTGTCAAAAAATATATGTTTTTGTATTCTGGTTTTTATTTTATTTACTTAGCGGTTTTATTAACGTTGGGAAATGCATTTACGCACGAGGTGTGGGACTCACCGGCAAAGTACTACCCACTAAAACCCAACAAAACCTTCCCCCGTCTTAATGGAGCGTCGCAGGATTGCTTACGCATTTAACTACGACGCCCCGACGACAGGTCTGCCGAAGCAGACCACAACAACCATGAGGTTGCTCCAAAGTCCACTCTGCTATCAGAGAAGTACTAGGAGCAACCCGCATGGTACACCGCCCACCAAAGAGAGCCACCTCCTACCGCCTACCGAAGTGGGCCATTTCCCTGTGCGTTTCTTAGCTTCGCACCCGGCTGGATTGCCGGGCGCTACTGAGCCCCCCACCACCACGACAAGGTGAACGCATGGTTACCATTACCTAAGTCATCTTATTTGACATATATTAGAGGTATATCAGAATCGTTTAGTAAAATTTAAAACGTACTATAATATAAAGGACAATCCAACCTTTTGTATGGACCGGTGGCATCATATTTTTTTCTTTCGCCATTAATTAAACTTAGATCGTAATTAGAACACTATGTAAGAAGTCTATTAAAGAATATTGTTTTTTTTAAATAGTGTTCTAGTTATGCTATAAGTTTCATTACTGGCGAAAGTAAAAAAAAATATGCCAAAAAGATGCATACTCCTTAACTAACAACTTATATACTCATACTTATTTATATTTGGATCAAATTAGGCAAATTACTAATAATTTTTAATATTTTTAGTGTATACTGGGCGATGTCACTCCAGGTTTGTGTATGGGAAGTGGTGTATGTGCACGTGCATCGGTCCCAAGCGAGTGATGCACTTATATTAGTTGGACAAGATGGGGTTCAACGGCCGCCCATACATTTTCCTAAAGGTAGTTAAAACTATAATATACACTGATTATAAGCCTCGCTAAGAAGTTTTTTGTAACAGACTAGTCGGTATCTTACGGGCACCACTTTATTGATTAGGACAGGACTAAGTTTAAGATGTCACTTTTTCTTTGAACGGATCGTCGTGACATAGAGTTCATTCTATGCAAAAATTGACGTCTGTTGCATCGCTATTGAAAGAAGCACAAAATAACATTATACACATTTATAAGTATCTAATATTTAAGTTGTTTAAAATCTTAAAATCCTTACTCCTACACTAAAAAGGTAAGCCATGTAAAATAGTCATAATAAATGCCAATATTTTTACAGGGGGACATTTACTATCCTTTTTGAGTAATCTAGAAACGGGACTATTACCACATGGTCAACTTGACCCACCGCTGTGGTCACAACGAGGAACGGGCAAGGTATATAGTAGCTAAAGAAATTATCGAATAAATGGTAGTCTATACTTATTATTTTTATATTATAAGGAGGAAAAATTTGTTTTTTTTGTAGTCGATAAACTCTGAAAATATTGAACCGATTTCAATAATAATTTCATTAATAGATAGCTTTAACATCCCAGAGTGCTATAGGCTAAATATGTATACAGCTTAGAGCTTTCGCGGTTTTGTTTAACAAGTTAGAAACGATGTACCTACCTGGATATACTCGCTTTTATTTTAAACAATATATTGACTTTTTAAATAATGTACATAATATGTATGTATAAACTTGACATAAACCCTCGACATTTTCATGTAAAAATAATTAAGGGTATTTTGGGAAAATTAATAATGAGATATTTTTATAACCTTAATTTTTATTTTAAAACCATTATATTATAAACTTATATAGAAAATATAAAGTTGTAACTTTAATTTACCTGCAAATCTTAGGTATTCGGTCGTAACAAAATACGACGACGTCCACTGCCAAGTCTGTGCGAGAGTGGCGAGTCAGAGGAGCCGGACTGGGAGGAAGTGGCCGGGGACTACGTATTCCGTATTGTTAACAATGCTATCGCTGATAGAGAAGGTATAATAACTAGTTTTTGTACGCAGCTCAGCTTCTCTCACATGTTAGATTTAAAGTGCCCTATGTGTTAATCCTGGATATTTTGTCTCAAAAACTTCAGTCAAATCCATTGAGCAAGGTACAGCATGAAAAAGTATTCTTGTAAGTGTCCTTTCATAAGCTTTTAGATTTGTAATATAATAATATGTATATGTAAATAAAATTTAAGTTTGTAATATAATAATTGGAAAACATTGCCAGCAAACAAATATTAGCACCTACGAATAAATGACTTATTATTTATTCGTAAACTAGTACCCGAATTAGCAAACTCTTTTTTACTTTACTTTTAATAAAAAATAACTAAAAATAAAGGCTACTAGTATGTAATATTTCTCCAGCAATGCGTCACTCGCTATTAGAGAGGGTGGTGCAGTCGCCTCCGCGCACGCCGCGCCGCCCGCTCGCCTCCACCTCCACCACCTCCTCCGACTCGTCCACATTGTCCGTGGACTGTCCCGTGGGAATAAATGGACATGCTGCTCCGGTGCCCAATCCCATCGTAGAAGAGGTCAGAATTATACAGATTTTTATATATGTAAAGAATGAAAAACACCATCACCTACGAAGCTAAAAGTGGATTTTTTCTGAAGAAATTAATTTTCTCGTTAGTCACTTTATTCTTGTAGAAAAAAATATTTTTAATTTTTAGTTCGGTTCATCATTAAAGCGTGTTTTTTAGTTTTTTTAACTATAATTTATTTCCTTTTTTTAGTTTGATCTGCTATAAAATCGTGTTTTTAAAATTTTTAATTTTTTTTTAATTGGTTAATTATTGTATTGTCATCGGACCTTGTGAAATGTGCTAAGTTTTAGTTCAATCTGAACTTTCGAAGTGGATAAAAATCGCGTTCAAAGATTCCTTTACATACAGATGAATATAATAAAAGTGTGTAAAACAACTTATATTTACGACAAACCGACAAATATTGTCAAATAATTAATCTTATTGTCCGATTAACGAATGTTTAGCAACAGCTTATTTATATTCGTGTTGGATCATTGGTTTCACAAACATATTGAAATTCAAGTCGATAGATTTTAACATTAATGTGAAATCCGAATAGTCTATGTTGCTTCTTGCACCACTTTAGAAAACGAAAGGTTCAAATATATTTTAAACAGTTAAACTAGATTACAATTAAAAATGTGCCCCAACGTGGTCCATTCATTAGAAAATACGGTGCCACGCACAGGTATAAATATTAAACTTAGTCATTTTTTCACTAAACCCAGTTGCACAAATCGACAGGTAGCATCAATCGAGCTAGTGTGCAGCACGATGCGGCGACAGATCATCTCGCGCGCGTTCTACGGCTGGCTGGCGTACTGCCGGCACCTGTCCACCGTGCGCACGCACCTCAGTGGACTGGTGCATCCTAATATCATATCTACAGGTTATTTATATTATTATTATTATTATAAATAGACTATCAATTTACCCTCGCTTCGCTCCGATACGTCCCTATGTGCCTAAAAGAAACTTAAGGGTTAAAGACTAACAAACATACACGTTTCATTAGGCCAGCATTACTATGCTCTAATCCCCCATTGGGAAGAAATCCCAATTTTTATTGTTTATTAATAAATAATCATTAATAATAATACCGTTCCCAAGACGACTGGCTCATTTTACATTCAAAATTTTTTAGTAACACAATATGTAAGCATGTTCGTATACTTTGTACTTTGTGGGAGAGCAAGAGAAAACAAAAGCGCTATTCTCGCCGTCTTCGTCTCTATATTGTAATCTTACTGTTGATAATGATGAAAATAAAAAAATAATTAATTAAAAACTTCTATTGCAACATATATAAATTATATTATTACATATACAGAAGGCACAGAGTCCGGAATAACAGAAGAACTGTGGCGGTCGATGATGGACAACCGCGGCGTGGTCTGCGACAAGGACGAGGTGTATAGACTAGTTTACTATGGGGGCGTGCAACACGACATCAGGAAGGAGGTCTGGCCGTTCCTTTTGGGATATTACGAGTGAGTTTAATGTTTTGGCTATTTTATTGTGCATCTAATTTTGCCAGGACACAGAAAATGACGAAGAGTGTAAAAAGTTCCCAATGGTTGTGATTTTTTTTGTTTTGCTTAGTTGTAAACATTTATTAGATTACTTGGAACCAAAGTTATTTATAGATGTATCAATCTCAGAATACTCGGTAGTTATTAAAATATTAAACTTTCAAATCATCCAATATTACAATAATTCCTTTATAAACACGATCGAATCCCAAATTAATAACTTGTAAGCATATGCTAGATTGTATAAACCCAAAAAGATTTTTAGTTTGAGCACTCGCAGAATACTCAGTAACCATTAAAATATTAAACCTCTAAATCAATCATGTTCAAATGCCAAAATAATAAAAACACCAATTTTCAACAGATTCGGCTCAACAGCGGAAGAGAGAGCGGAACAAGACGTAGTATATCGTCGTCAGTACGAGACCACGATGTCGGAGTGGTTGTGCGTGGAGGCCATCGTGCGGCAAAGGGACAGGGAGGCGACGGCCGCTTCTATCGCGCGCCTTACTGAGTCTTCGGGGAAGAAACCTGAGCTTGTTGAGCCTGAGGTGAGAGTTATACTTATTAATAGTCGGCCAGCGATAAATAAAAAAGGAACTAAAATTCGATAATGTATAGCTACATTGATAATTGTCTAATATTTATAAAAGTACCACCAGAGAGAATAACCAGAGACACCAAACCTTCAAAATAATAAAACTTAAAGTGACTGACTGATGGACAGTTGATTAATATTTTTTTTTAAGAGAATCTCTTACATAACGAAGGTGAATTTTAAACAACAACAATTTTTGAAAATTCATCAGTAGGAAATAAAAGAAAATCCTTTCCGTTTTACAGTACTATTACTAAAAAAATAATAACTAACTTACTTTATTTTAGGTATTTGAAGACGATTGCAGTGTAATATCAGACAATCCCCCAATCGTATCCCCCGAGCCGAGCGATACTGAGCAAAGAAAAGAAAAACCAATACTATCAAGAGCGCCCAGCATAGATGAAGTAGATAACATCGAAATGGATTCTGAAGATAAAACTAAAGATACTAAATTAAATGGAGACACGACTGATAGTCGGGATAGTGTATCTGAATTAGAGGACGAAGAAGTATATATAAAAAGTGTTGTTGAAAACCCTGATATGAGACGAGAAAGTATAGCGGAAATTAAACGGCTAGCTGAAGGCATAGTACAAAAGGGTGATGGACGTGGTCTTCTATGTAGTGTTGATAGTGGAAATACGAACCTTAACGGTAGTGAAATAAGGACGGATGAGAATGAGGCGAGTTCTCTTCAACAGCATACGAGTGTGATTGTGACTAATCCTTCGGTTGATCTCGTTCCGTCTGGTTCGCCTGCGTCTGGTGGTACTACAGGTACATGTTTTTACCGACTCCAAATAAGGAGGAGATAATGCATTCGGTTGTTTCGTTTCTTGGTTTAATATATTTATCCCCTTATATCTACAGAGATTGTGGAGCGATTTTTATGACGCTTTATCGACAATCTTGAATTTGAGATAGGATTAATCCCTCCACAATCGCGGACACCTCGAGTTGTCAGTTAACAATAGATTTCTTGGAATTTTAATTAATTTCTTAGAAATTTACCTGGAGGGATTAATAATGTGAATGAATATAAAAAAAAATGTCTGTACTATATAATCATGGATAATATCTTTATACTATGTGCTTCTAATACTATTTTTTTTAAATAACGTAGTAGGTATAGTTCTCGTCACGTAAAAAGAACGCCGTCCGTTTAGCTGCGCATTGAGCGATTTATTGATAAAATAAATGATGGTTGTATGAAGGGGGCGCGACAAGGGAGTACCAACTACCTACCTACCTACCTACCTATTATGATTTTACAATTAACACTTATATTATAAAAAAATGGTCTGGTACTTTAGGACGCGACTGCACCCGTGCGCAGACACATTCCCTCTACAGTCGCTTAGCCTTGTTTGTACATGACGGAACGCTAATTTTTCAAACCATGGAACGCATAAACAATTATGGGCTTGCCTTCCCTTAGGGTTCATCCCTAAGTGGCTAAAAATAACTTATGTAAGTTGCATCTAAAGCTATTCATCCGATTAGGCGTAAAGGAGTTGCAAACATATACACAGCATACAAATCTCTACTAATATTATAAATGTGATTTTTGTTTTGTATGGATGTATGGATGGTTGTTACTCTTTCACGCAAAAAGTACTGAATGGATTTTAATTAAACTTTACAATAATATAGCTCATACTTCAGAATAACACATAGGTTACTTTATATCCCTGAAAAATGTACGGTTCCCGTGGGATAGATTTGTTTTAGTTAAAAATATAGTAGTAGTCCGATTCTCAGGGAGTATGATATATCCTCAAAACGTACTTACTACGTTTATATATAACATATCTCAACTAAAACCTAGCCAACGCGAGCCCGTCGCGCAGTCCGCTGGGCGTGGTGCGCGAGGAGTCGCAGTCGGCGGGCGCGTCCATCGACACGCTGGAGCCCGACGCGCGCCCCGACACGCGCTCCAACTGCGTGTCGCCGGCCAGCTCTAATGGCGGGGTTTATTCTGTAAGTTTTTTCTTTCTTTTTTAGAATTGACTAGTACTGTTGTCCACATTTTTGGCCATACACAGTTTTTATTATTTGATTGTTTTAAAAATAATAATTCCAGAATGAGTTGGTGGAGAGTTTCGCGCTGAATCTACATCGAATTGAAAAGGATGTGCAAAGGTGTGACCGCAATTATCCTTTCTTCACCGACGAAAATCTGGACAAATTGCGAAACATTATGTGCACGTGAGTTTAAAGCTCCATCCATTTTTATATGTCACATACAAAAAACGAAAATATGAAGCCAAAAAAATATTTTTAAAAACATTACATAAAAACATGGAACACGTTTTTATGTAATATTTTTACGTTCAATTAATAAGAGTTTTAGTTCAATTAATAAATAAATAAAAATCCTTTTTAAATTTAAATTTGTTATTATAATATTACTACAAAATGTTATTATATTATGAATAGTGAATGTTCACTGTGAAATTAACGAAAAAGACAGCTATAAAAAACTTCTCTAGATTAAATAAAACTATCTTTTCGGATTATTTCGCGGATTTATTTTGATTTTTGGTTCCCGACGTTTCGAATGCTTTACAGCATCCATGGTCACGGGAGAGACTGAGGTGTTACATGTCTTGGAGGTATAGTTGTTACAGACAGCCGGGTAGGCTTTTACAAATTAAAAATGAAAAATATTAATCTGTTATGCTGTCATACTACATCTGCCTGTCTGTTATGTTTAGTAAGTAAGAAGTAAGTTCATATTGTGTAGATCAAAATGACAGCATAACAGATTAATATTTTTCATTTTTCAACCGACTTCAAAAGGAGGAGGTTCTCGCTTATTTTGTTTGATTTGACAAGCCTAACACGTTAGAATTCTTACTGTGCTACTACTGTCTACACTAAAAAGGGAAAAATAAAAACTTTTTAACAAAAAAATAAAAACCGACTTCAAACAAAAGCCCTAAAAAGTAAAAAATAACTGATTGGTAGTTTTCATTTACTATACATACCTAATCAAATATTTTCGAAGTCGGTGTGCTTTGGCTAAGTAATTAAAGCCTACCTATTAAATACATACCTAATCAAATATTTTCGAAGTCGGTGCTAGCCGATACAAAGCAAAGCACACCGACTTCGAAAATATTTGATTAGGTATGTATAGTAAATGAAAACTACCAATCAGTTATTTTTTACTTTTTAGGGCTTTTTCATTTGTAAAAGTATATATTAATAGTGTTGCTTAGTAAGTTGTTTTTAAATAATAGCAAACTAAATTAAAATTATTATCCTTAATTAATTTTAACTTTTTAAATTACACATAGAACAATTATATGGCTTAAATAATTAATACTATATTTTATATTTTTATGTATGGTTATAAATATAATAATGGCAAAACTAAATATAGATTACTAATTAATATTTTAAAATTGTAATAATTATAAAAATAATAGCAAAAATTAAATAAATAATTTTCCATATTCAATTATAATTAAAATTATAAAAATGTTTAAAGTTAAAAAATATTGTAATGTAATTGGTGCAATTTTCATTTTGTTAATTTGGCTGTCTGTAACAACTATACCTTCAAGACATGTAACACTTCAGTCTCTCCCGTGACCATGGATGCTGTAAAGCATTCGAAACGTCGGGAACCAAAAATCAAAATAAATCCGCGAAATAATCCGAAAAGATAGTTTTATTTAATAATGTCAAATATTCGCGTAAATCTAAGAAAGTATTCTCTAGATTAAGTCTTCTTTAAATTAAGCTGTTGAAACCAGTCGCTTCTTTCTGATATCATCTTGCCATCAATTGTAGGATTGCCACCTTTTACTTTGGGACTTCCTCATAGAAAAAAAACTTACTTTTAAAGCGGTTGAAAGTCCATGTATATATTTATTAAAAAAACCTCCTCCATACAGCTACGTGTGGGAGCACCTGGACACAGGCTACATGCAGGGCATGTGCGACCTGGCGGCGCCGCTGCTGGTGGTGGCGCGCGACGAGGCGGCCGCGCACGCGCTCTTCACGCGCCTCATGCTGCGCGCGCGGCACAACTTCCCCTCGGGACAGGCTATGGACGCGCACTTTGCCGATATGCGGTTAGATATACAATAAACTTTAGCGATAAAATACACCTAATTTCTAAATTTTATCTGCAACATATTTATATGTGTATAAGTTATAACGATTTTAAATAAATAAATATGTTGAAACATTAACACACAGCACCATCTAGTTCCAAGATGAGCTACGAGGTTTGTGCTATGCATACCAGATAGTTGATACACTACACATATATAACTTTAAATATATACATATTATATTTAAAGTTATATAAATATAAACAACCACTGGAGTACATACATTCGTGCTCATCACACAAATGAATTCCCCAGCGGGACTCGAACCTGCGACAGCTGGTACAGCAAATAGGATCACTACAAACTGAGCCAAACGTGTCGACTCTCATAAACCACAGTACTAATCCATGCAAGCATCTAGACAGGGCAATCGTTTCGGGAGCGGGTGAGGCGTCCCCGACGTATATATAACATACATATGTTCTTATATGACTGTCGCGAAGTGGTTGTAAAGTGACGAGTATATGTACTTTAGCTTAGCTTTAACTTTTTTAAAGTTATACTTCTTTTGGCACATTTGAAAAAAATATGAAAGTAAAATTTTTACGATACGCGCGCACACCGACAGCCAAAAAGCGACATGATGAAGTTAGCTGCATTCTTCCTTTTACAAATAGAGAGTTGTGACATACGGTATGAATTCTTTAGCTATTTTTGTTCTGTTACGCCAAAGAAGTACTTCTTACGTGCGTACATAGGTACACACACAATTTTTTTTCCGGCTTTTCTATATGAATTTTTATACTGTGGCTAAACAAAGCTCATCCTTCGTAGCTACTAAAACAAATCTATTACAGGTCATTAATCCAGATTTTGGACTGTGAGCTGTATGAGCTGATGCACGCACACGGCGACTACACGCACTTCTACTTCTGCTACCGCTGGTTCCTGCTCGACTTTAAGCGGGAGCTGCTCTATCAGGATGTGAGTGCTCTATACTATTATTAGTATTATAATCATACCAGCTACTTAGAAACCAATTTGTGTCTTGAATTTTTTTTGTTAAAACTAATTATGAGTCCAAATTCAAAAGTTTTACTAGTAACAATGGAGGAATTTCATTCTCCATTTCCGTCATCCCGTCAGGTCTTAAACAATAATATTATCGATTATATCAATTATATCGATTAGATCGATTAAATCGATTAGCTGCTAAACCAAACGTCTTACCAAACTTACACTTTCACGTTGAAACGGCTGGAAGGATAATTTTGACATTTAGTACGGACTTGCACATAGCCTTCTGTTAGGTACCTAGGGACGCTATGCTATGCTAGTAATTAATATAGCGCCAAGAAGCTAAGAATGTGCATTTTGTATACTAAGGTATTCTCCGCGTGGGAGCTGATCTGGGCGGCGCAACGCGTCGCCTCCGAGCACATGGTGCTCTTCATAGCGCTGGCGCTGCTAGAGACCTACCGCGACGTCATACTCGCTAATGCCATGGACTTCACTGACATTATCAAGTTCTTTAATGGTATGTATGATAATAATTACTATATCATTGTTTTGAACTAAATAAAAGTATTCTCAGTGGTTACTGATTAGATTTTCTTAGTTTGTTCAGAAGAAATATCAGACGGGTGCTATTTACTTTATCGCATGTGATTGTGTCTATAGTATAGTAATAGTAGGGTAGTACCTACTCCCCCCCAACGTGCGTTCACCTTGTCGTGGTGGGGGGGGGGGGGCTCAGTAGTGCCCGGCAACCCAACCGGGCGCGAAGCCAAGAAACGCACAGGGAGGTGGCCCACTTCGGTGGGCGGTGGGAGGTGGCCCTCTTCGGAGGGCGGTGTACCATGCGGGTTGCTCCTGGTACTTCTCTGATAGCAGAGTGGACCTTGGAGCAACCCCGTGGTTGTTGTGGTCTGCTTCAGCAGACCTGCCGTCGGGGCGTCGTAGTTGAATGCGTAAGCGATCCTGCGACGCCCCATTAAGACGGGGGAAGGCTTTGTTGGGTTTTAGTGGGTAGTACTGGCTTTGCCGGTGAGTCCCACACCTCGTGCGTAAATGCATTTCCCAACGTTAAAAAAAAAACGGTAGTACCTACTAGTGAGTACTATTCACGGGCGCTGGGATGTACTTGCACCCCCTTGCCATGAAGGAAAATATATAGAAAAAGTTAAACAAATAAATAAAATTATAGCAAACGAAATAAAAAATAAATAAATAAAAGTATGAAACTATAATTTATTTAGTAAAAAAATTAATCATTCATTTTCAGAAATGGCCGAGCGTCACAACGCGTCTGCAGTGTTGACTCTCGCTAGAGATCTAGTTTTACAAGTTCAAACTTTAATAGAAAACAAATAAATTTTAATATAAATATTCAGATCTGTATTATGCCCGTTACTAATATATTGGTGTAAGACTGGTTTGATCGATCGCCATAGTTTTTTATTCATATTTAAATTGTACTGTTTATAAAATTTGTTTGTGCTTAAATCTATGTTTGATGGATATCCATGATATTAAGTATAACTTTTTACTATATTGTACCTTACACTTTCGATGTGCCTAAAGGAGGTTTTATCTATATTTTTAGTCAAACGTAGACGCACAATACTTTTGGTACCTATTTATTTTTTCCATATAAATTACAAAATTATAATTATTCTGCAGAAGAGTTACAGCGCAAGAGGTTTGTTTACAATTTAATATTTAGAAGAGTAGAGAGCGCTTAGACACACACCATTACCCTTTTCTTACACCAATAACGTTAGTGCTATGAAACAATGAACTATTCTTATAAGATATTAGAAAGTCGTATTTAAATAGAAAATTATATAACTATAATATCTATCTTATATTAGACAATTCCAACGACGTTCTTAGCCAAACTGAATATATGTATGTCTATACTGTAGTGTATGTTGGGAAGTCGCTGTAAAGGCGTAGTGCACATTGAGACTTAAAAATATTACATTATACGACCTTATAAATTCTTAATTAATAAATATTTAATTAGATTTTTTGTTAATAAATTTAATGCAGTTACAATTTTTTTCCTGGAAAATGGAGGAAATAAATGTAACATCACTATTTATTTCGGTATATCTATACATATAATAAAATTCTAACTAAGCCGAATCTGTACATTAAATATTTTTTGGAAAATCTTATTGAAATAGACATTATTATCGATACAGAGGTCAAATCTATAGTTTTTAGAATTTTTGTCTGTCTGTTTGTTTGTCTGTTTGTTTGTCTGTCTGTATGTCTGTCTGTCTGTTTGTTACGGCATCACAGAAAAACCACTGGAGGGATTTTGATGAAATTTGGTATGTATGATAAGTAATAACTGGTTATCCAGGTCAACATATAGGATACTTTTTACCGCGAGAAAATATCTAATTTTTGAGAAAAAAACTGCAATGTAAGAGTATAAACCAAAGAATTAAAGAGTAAAACCCAAGAATTAGGGGTGTCCATTTTGAAAAAACATTGATGTTTTTTTCGATTCGATAAATCAGAACTGTGTGTATCGGGTGAAAACATCGATATTTTGTACGCATTGAGTACTTTTTCAGGGTTTCGTACCCAAAGGGTAAAAACGGAACCCTGTTACTAAGATTTCGCTGTCCGGCTGTCACCAAGTTGTATCTCATAAACCGTGGTATTTAGACAGTTGAAATTTTTACAGGTTATATATTTCTGTTGCCGCTATAACAACAAAAACTAGGAAATAGAATTCACGGGACACAGACCAGATATGCTACTTCAACACCATTTTTCATGCAAACCATCAATAATTCAAACATTGTTTTATAAAAAAAAAAAAAAATTAAAATTTTTTTTATAAAAAATTAGAAATATCTTTATTGTTATTTACGTAAGAACAAAAAAAACATCCGCAATAATTTTGCTAAGTCTGCCATGTCCTATTTCCAGTGTTCTTTTGAAAGACTTTGCAAAAACAACAGTTTATTTAAACGTTTACCTTTCAGTCTGTTTCGTTGTTGATTGACGCTTTGTGCCGCTTTAGGCCGCAACGACATTATATTGTCAGTCCACTATTGAATAATAAACTTTTCTTTTTTAAATAAAGAAATAGGAAAAAAAAATTTAGGTAAATATTAGTGGTCGAACTTGAGTTTTCAATGAAATTAATTGGTTATAATCGATTCGATGTTTTTCTACTAAAAACTGAAAAAACATCGATACATCGAGTATATCGAAAGCATTTCAAAACATCGGATCGATTCGATGTATCGCATTGTAAATATCGATGTATATCGAATATCCCTACCAAGAATTTGGTTTTTGGTCATCTGAACGCGGGCGGAGTCACGGGTAATGCTAGTAATTTATAATAGTTTAAACGTTGGTGAAATTTCTTTAAAGTACATATATAATGCTACTACACTATAAAGCATAATTAATTTGTTTCACCAGATTTAAGTATCAATGTACATCATGCCATGACTTTAAAATGTAATAACATAGGAAAGAACTAACTAATAATGATATTTAAATATATTTTGATACGTATCATGTACGAATATCTTCATAAAAACGTTAAATTCTCAATGTTCTTATAATAGGATTACCATTATAGTGACATTAAAAGTAGCTGATGTTAAGTGTCTTCGTAGAACAAAATCATATCTGGATCTGAATTAGTCGTTTCCAAATAATTAAAAGTGTTATGGCACTGAAAAACTAACTAACTGACTTTTTATAGTAGATTCTTAAATAAGCGTGCGGGAATGAACCCGTGATTTATGACGTTAGTGATAGGTACAGACATCATAATTGTATAAGAGTAGCATCCGCGACTAGTCCGCGTTATTTAAATGAAAAAATGAAGTAGTAGAAACATAAAAAATGTGGTAGATCAATGTAGTAAAATCATTTTCATAAAATTTTATCTACACGAGTTGGTTATTATTTTCTCAGTATATAAGTCATGCAAGTTTACATAAGGTATAATAGTATTTCCATTCTCTTTCAAGCTGGTCCTCATTTTTCTGGATTTATAAAGTAATATCGGTATTTTAAATAAAACTTTTGGATTTATTTGGATTTTTGGTTCCTGACGTTTCGAATGCTTTACAGCAATCATGATCACGGGAGGTCAGTCTCTCCCATAGATAGTTTTATTTAAAATATCAAATATTCGCGTAAATCCAAGAAAGTATTAATATCGGTATAAAATGATTCAGACAGTAGGCTATCGCCCATTGGTTGCACCCCGCCCTGTTTAGAAGGCATTGTTAGACGACTGCATGAATTAGTAGACTGTGGTTATGCTATACTTTGTAATACAGAAGTCAAGCTATCTCTTACACAAATATTAGCCATATCTATAAACCAAATGGTTTGGGAAAAGTAAGAAAACAGATTCATTTTCGTTTTGTTTTAAAAGAGCAGAACTGACTTCCGAGCAGGTGGTAACTGGCCTTAGGGACTTACAATAATGACATTTGATTTAATTTTTAATTGATATAAGTTATATACCTTACAAATAGAGACATTTTAAATATTTCATATATATAGTATGTAATTAAAAAAAAAACAATTCATTAATACCATATTTAGATGTGACTTTGTTCTATAAGAATTACTTATTGAAATTGATGTTTCAACAATTTAAGGCCAAAAACTAAAGTAATACAATGGTAACTTTTATCACTAGTGCATCAATTTTGTGAGTATGAAAACATATGTAAAAGTCGTATTGAACGATTATTCACGTTATTTCTCTATAGTAGAACTACGTGTAAGGACATTTCAGTAAGTGTAATAATTTTCTACCAAATTATTACTGGTATTATTTAAAACATCCATGTTATCCTGTTAGATAGTATATATTATTATAATTGTGGTGCACTAATAGTAGGTAGATGTTAACGACCGCACCATCTTTGGCCATTCAAGATTACCATCGATTTGAACCATCAAGTCGATGGTGATCTTGACCTGTCTTAAGACTTATAGAAAAAACGATTACAGAAGCTGTTTAATCCATCACGGTGACCAACTCAAGTAATCGTAAAGATTTCCTTTTTTCCAAAGAAAGACTCAAACTAATTTACTAATGTTTCGACACATTACCTTTTAATATGTTGAAATTCATACTTAGTTTGTTTTTAATTTCAATAGTATCGTTTTAGATATACGGTAAATAATTTAATATTAAGAATTTTACTGCTTTTATTTCTCCATTTAAAATAATTTCAAATTATACATTAGCAGGTATCTATCCATTATACAGGAATAGTTGTTCCTTCTGTGATCAGACTTTGATTATGCTGCTCAGATTATCTTAAGATTTATAATTTTATATGAAAGTTTAGTGCTGATATATATTTTGTATTTATATATAAATATTACGTAATACTAGTGACTAGTGGTTAGCCAGATATAATCTTGAACAGTTCAAACTTCAAAGCAACATACTATTAACCTATGTCAATTTCCTCTTACTACTGTCATTTAACATAATATTCAACATCGCTATATTGCATTTATTATGTCAGTCATTTGGTGCTCAAAAAAGAGATTACCTGGAAAGTTTTATGGGAGTTTTGAAAATTGGTGATTTTATATATTTCGATGTGCTCTTTCCGAATTTAAATTTTGCCATCTTGTAACTTTGTTGCTCGCGCCGCCATATTTGTAAAATGGCGCCTAATTACAGTTTTTTGACAATATCTATATTCCCACTCATTTTACGACAAAAACATTTATCAAATGTTTTTACCGGAAATTTAGTCGGAACGGAAATATTGTCAAAAAACTGCCATAAGCCGCCATCTTTCCAATATGGCGTCGCGAGAGGCAAAGATACGAGGTGGCAAAATTGAAATTCGGAAAGAGCACATCGAAATTTATAAAATCACCAATTTTCGAAACTCCCGGTAAACTTTCCAGGTATATTACCCTATGACTGGGCTAATTATATTTTATGTATATTATAAAAGTGTATTTTTTTTAGTATGTCTTATTTGAGTTAGAAATAAGCCTTTTATTATATTTATGTTTATTTTAGCAAATTATTTTCTTACACTTTTAAATGTTACAAATAATAATTTGCATTTGTTTTCTTGTAAGTACTTTTTTTTAACTTAGAGCGCAATGCTTAAAGGTAACGTCTTCGCATTACTGTGTTTAAGATAATCAAGATTCAAGTCATCTCTTCTACTATAGAAACTGCATCGAATATTATAGAATAATATTTAATTAATTAATTAAACACGTTCTATGTTATAAAATATAAAATTAAGCTGTTAAGCCTACCAAAGCGCACTATAGTACACAATAAAAAAAAATGATTTTTCTATATGTAATATTCGTAGTTACGTATG